ATGACCTCGGAAGCACAGTTAGACATGATGACACTTGTCATCATTTCCCCTGAGTTAGAGAGAATTGGAGGGAATAGGTGAGGGGAATGCTTGTCCTCTTCTCTCTGAAGGGCTGTTAACATGGTAAGTAAGCAAGTGTTCTGGGTGACTCCAGAAGGAAGAATAGGAGTCAAGTGATAGAAATGTTCAAAAGACTGACCTGGACTTAGGCAAGGAAAAGCTTTTCTTTTTTCTGCTCTTTTCTTTGCATGTGAGAATTGGTGAAACAACTTCTGCTGAGAAATCATCTCAGTAAACCATCATGATTCCTGATCATTTATTTATTTTTTATTTAGCATATTTGTTACTTCATATGGTAATCACTTCTTCATGGTAAAAACTTGGAGAATTACCTGGCAAAACTCTAACACTACCAAGCCTGTAATACTATCTACTAGGGAGGCTGAGATTTAAAATATGATGAATCAAAGCCACGCTAGGGAAGAAAAGTATGAGAGACTCCCACCTCCATTCCAAGTGTCCTGGCCCGTCCTTTTATATACAGTTCTACCTGAGGGCATTTGTACCTGCAGTCTTAGAATGTTGTTTTCAACCAGATTAAAACTCAGTTTACTTCTTCTTCATCTTAAAAATATATTTATTTATTTTCGATGATATTGAAGTTGATAAGGGCCAGGTGTTTGCTACACAAGTGATCTGCCACTTGAACCAGGCCTCAAACCTTTTCTTTATTTTGTTCATTTTTGGGAGGTGGAGAGAGGTAGTTAGATAAGGTATTCTGTTTTTGTCCTAGAGCAGCATCTATGATCTTCCTATTTCTACATCCCTAGTAATTCAGATTAAGAGCAAATAAATTTTCTCTTAAACATTATTTTATCCCTGAAGACTTCCATGGCCACATTCCTCATTAATTCTTATCTAATTCCCTTTCTATACATTTGGTATACCACAGTTTAATATACTATGAAGTTAGTATAGTTAGTATATGCATATGGCCCAACATCTGTATTCTCTGTTTAGAGTATAATATCCTAGAGGGAAGGGAGCTTGGTCTATTTTTTTTATTCATGGCTTTTATGTTATACAACTCCAGGGGGTACCATTTCAACTTGACAGGAAATAGTAAATATTTGGTTTAAAAGAAACTGAATGAATGAATGAATGTTTGTGAAATATTTATAGTTTCAGTAGATTACCATATACTTAATTAAAAAATAAAGCAGAAATCTAAGTTGTTTTACAACTAGATTATATGTAAAAGCTAAAACATAAAAATAAACTCCAAAGCTTTTTTGTCTATAGGAAATTTCAAGATGGTAAAGAAGATCACATCAAACTATTGAAAAGTCTGGCTTTGGGTAACATAGATATTATAGTTTTTTGGGCAATTTCCATTTCTATATTTTCCTATTTTCCTCATTAATATATTTAATTACATTATTAAAATGAACACTGTTGTAAAGAAAAGTCAAAGTTTATGAAAATATCTGTCATTGCTCAAAGGAAATGCCTTCACCATTTATTTTCTTCTGAGGGTTTGAACTCAGGGCTTTGTGCTTGCAAGGTAGGTCCTGAGTGGTAGATGCTCTACCACTTGAGCTCTGATCTTTTTGCTTTCTGTTATTTTGGGTAAGGTCTCACATTTATGCAGGGGAAGGCCTAGATGCTCTAGTTTTAGTCACTTAGTCCAGTTTTCAAACTCCCTTCCCTTAATTGGCATGTGTGTGTGTGTGTGTGTGTGTGTGTGTGTGTGTGTGTGTGCACTTTTTCACTTCTGAAGAAGAATCAAAGCAGTAAAAGAAAGAAATTATGAAATAAGTAAACTAAAATCATATCAATGCCATTTAATTAAAAATGAGTGAAGCAATGTTGAAGATTATTTTGTGGCTTCTCTGAAAATGTATTTAAAATACAAATTATTCAAGCTCCTATTAATCTGCAGTCACTTATTGAAATAATGATACTGGATTGAACCGGTGCCATCTTGGCAACACGGTGGGTAATAGGGAATAGAGTCCATGTTGTCTTCTTGGTGGATGAAGGTGACTCTCACCCCCCAGGTGATGGGCATGCCTGAATTTCTAGAGGCAGGGGCAGGGATTTGGACAATAGGTGACTGGACCTGCCAGTTCTGTGCCGTGAACTCTAGAGACTCTAGAGTGCCCTGTGTTCCTGCCCCTGACCGTGACGCTATTTAGACCCAGATCAGTTCAGCCACCATTTGTTATTTTGTTTGGTGTCTCTTGACTCTCCTCAGGTCACCATGGTATCCCTCTTCAAGTCTCCATTAGAGTTGATTTGCTTTGTTGCTTTTTCTTTGCTTTACTACTCTCATGGCTCAGTTTTCTAAGAGCATTATGTGGATTTCAGGCTGCAAGTTCTTTGGGGACATGTGTCCACCCGCAGTCACTGGCTTTCTAATGAAGACTCTCAATTCGACCACTCAAAATGTGGCTTCTCTGTATCTTGTGATTGAATTCCCATATCACATTATCTGGTTGAGATCACATTGTTTGTTACACAGAAGGCTATTCTTCAGAACAGTATTTGTTTTTTTGTTAAAGGCTACTGCTGGGTGTAAGTTAAAAATAGAGAATTTCAGGAAAGAAAATTTTTGTACCAAGCAAATATGGGGGAAATAACCTTCTTTAGACCACCTCCCTTTAATCCTCAACATGAAATGGATACCCAGATCCCATGACAATAAAGTGCAATGATAGTATGCAAGAAAGCAACACAATATTACAATCAATATAAACCATTGCGGCCTACACATGAGTTCAGTCAGCCATATTTGGGGCACAATTATTCTTCAGAGATTTATCCTTAGCACTGCTATAGTGCAATGGTTCGCCATCCAAGCTATATGTTGGAATCCTTGAAGGAGTTCAAACTCGGTCTTTACCTCAAAAGTTCTGATAGTACTGACTTGCGGAAGATGTCTGGAATTACCAAATTTCAACCCGTATTTGTAACACATGCCTGTGATCCCAACCACCCAGGAGAGTATGAGGAAAGATAATAAAAACCTATATCAAATATGTAAAATAAAAACAAACGGTCTGAGGGAACATCTCAAATGGAAGAACCACTTGCCCAACAGGAGTAAGAACCTGAGTTAATTTCTTAGTACTGAAGTTTCGAAAGCTCCCAGGTTATGGCCCCTTGCTATTTGAGAAAGGAAGTACTTTATGAAACTCCTAAGTCCTGTGTTTCAACAGAGGGGTAACTGTGAGTTGGGCTCTCCATGGCTCACATAGGGCTGATTGGTGAGCTACCACCACTAAATTTCAAGTTCCTTTCTTTTCTCACTTAACCAAAAAACTGCTCAATTCATTTCATGTCCTTTATAGTCTGTCTGCTTTGAATCAAACTGAGCCAATGGAAGGCCTTCAGTAAATATCAACTTAATGAATTTGTACTTAGTTTTCAAATCCCAATATTGTCTGTTATAAAATCAGTCCATGGAAGTTGAGAATGTAAAATGTCATGAGATTTGCTGAAGTTTGGCATTGACAGTGTCTTATTACCAAGTTTTAGGTCCCAACAAGCGATGCCCCCCACCACGATCACTTTTCCCTCTCTTAGGCATAATAAGTATTAGCTTTTGAACTCATGTTCACTGTTGCGGTAACACTAAGCCACACCTCCAGCCTTCATTTCTGTCAGTCATTTTTGAGATAAAGTCTTGCTTTCTTTTCCAGGTGCACATCTGAGAAACATTCATCTATGTTCAAAAGGGTTTCAGATAGCTAGGGTAACAGGCCCATGCCACTGCATCCAGCTCTAAAACTTCAACAATCTTAGCCCTTCAAGTAGCTAGAATTGCAGGTCTCAGTCACATTAGCACTCCTCTCTTACCATAACTTTCCATTTTTTATTAAGAGTTTCTATGGTACCAGCTAAAGGAAGAGATTTTTTTTAGAGAAATCTGGTGTAAATACTGTTGAGGAAGATATGAAAGTGGAAATCATTCACCTGAGGGAAACCCACAACTAGATTCTACTAGGATTATTGGCAGGGTAAATTATGTGGGAACATTCTCAGGATGTAGACAGAGCTAAGAGAAGGAGGGGAAATGTCATTGCTGAACAATGGTACTTAGACAGGAATGACCTCACACAGGATGGGTGGTTACACTCCAGCTTTTCTTCCAGCTCATGTTAAGAGCAGCTACAGATACTACTTCTTCAAACATCATAGACCCGGACCTTACTCTTACAGATTTAAGTTTTGTATAAGCAGAGGTCAAATTTTGATGAATTTGTTTAAGAGGAATTCAGAATGGACAGGAAATGATCCTGGTCTCTCACCCATCATACTAATGCCTGAGAACCACAGCAGAGCTGCAATCTCACACCTGTTTTGTCTTATTAATATGAAAATTGCTCGGGGAGTGGCCTCATTTAAAGAACTCCCAGTTATTGATACATTAAAATAATGAGCGAATGCATTTCATCACTGGCTTTCTTAAGAGGTAGTTTTGAAAATAACCTTTACATAAACAATAATGGATTTCTAGGAGGCTGTCTTTTTAGTTCTTTAGTCATTGTAGCTCACGCCTGTAGTCCTACATACTCGGGAGGCTGAGATCAGCAAATTGAGTTTCAAAGCCAGTGCCAGCAGGAAAGCTCATGCAATTCTTATGTCCAATTAGCCAGCAAGAAAGTTAAAGCTATGGCTCAAGGGGTAGAGTGAAAAAGTTAAGGGACAGTACCTAGACCCTGAGTTCAAGCTCTGGTACCTGCATATACACACACAAAATCAAGTAATTGTTCATGTCTTCTTGTATCTCCTCTATCCCAGCCTAGAAAGGGGCCAAAATGAACAGGATGGGACACGGTAGTGAGTGGAGCCAGGCAGATATTTGGGGGATGGCCCACAGGCATTACACATTCACCAGAGATACATAGTGAACCAGATAGTAACTCAAGCTACCTCCTCATGCAAGCACAGTCATGAATCCTAAGTGAATAGAAAAGAAGTACAGATTTTTTTTAATTAAAAAAAAAACATTTATTGTAAAAGAGTAATGCTTTATACAAATCCCCATTACAAACCCCCGAAAATCAAGTGGATTGTTTCTGGTGTGATGGCAGGGTATAAAAATATCAAAACTGAATAAGTTCTTACATAAAAAAGTTCTGATGAATCGTTTTTGGACTACAGATTATTTTGTGAACGGGAACACTTCTCTATATCATTTACATGAGCATGTCATTAGGTTCTGTGAATGCAGTAAAAGCTTTTTAAATGTTAACTCCTAGAATCATAGACAGATTTGAGGTTACTAGGTCTAAGTTCTCATCAGACTCAATCCTTTGACTAACTCATTCCATCCTGTTTTATCATCAAGTACAATTCCCAATCTGTTGTAGCAATACTAGCTACTATCTGATAACAAAGAACCTGGAAGGTAACATTAACAAATAGCACCTAGATCCTCTTGCAAGATATAATTCAAAAAAGTCTCCCATAGTCTTTATTGGCTTTGCCAACACTTATGTTTCTTTCCCCATTACATCTGCTTAGCCACAAAAGCCCTCAGTCCATATTGATTGAAGAAACTAAAACTGTCTTAGAATCCATTGTGTTCAGTGAGATGAATTTTACCAGGATCTAGGCCTACAGAGGACAGTGCTAAATGTAGGAGGGGGATATCACAGCTGGTTGAACAATGGCAGTCAGATACCAATGCACTTACACAGAGGTGGGCCTCTGCTCGCTATGGTGTACAGACCAGCTTTCCCTTGGGTTCTTATTAGGAGTACTTCATCATTTGAGAGACTAATCAAGGCAAGAAGCTCATTTGTCCACATGTCTCTCTTTATAATTTGAAAAGTAGCTCCAAACTCTATGTACTCAAATACCTTCTTTCCTCCCTTGGTATATAACCATGTTATACTTCACTAAACTAAATTTACACGTATTCTCTCACTGAGTCCCAGTGACAGCTCTGTGGTGCAGATGGGTCAGGAATTACAAACTCTTTGCATAGATGAGGCAATAAATTTAGGGCAGCCAAATGCCTTGCTTAAACTCAGTAATTGATAGCACCAAGATTCAAAGCCAACAACTTCAAACAACAAAGCCAACACCCTTTTCATTATATTATTTAGTTCAGGAGAAAGAGCCTTTACTACAGCTTGGAAAAGTGACAGCCATTGCTAGAATGGAACAGGGCACCATCATCACTGAAAGAAAGGAAGTTGACCTGGAGATAAAGGAAGATAACAAAAAACAAGGTGTGTGGTTTCATTCTGTGACTTCAAAACTGCCCATTGAGCACAGAAAAACACTACTTAGGCATATTTCATGTTCAAAGTATGAGAGTCATATCAACTAATTAATACTCACATTACCCTTACCAGCTGGTTAAGTGTAATTATTTCAATTTGGCAGATGGGAAAAGAGGTATAAAGATTAAATGACTCGCTCACAGCTCCAGAGAGAATATTTGTCACCAGATTATTGCTCCAGCCAGTCTAGCCCTTTGTTCAGATAAACAGACCACACCCCTCTGGGAAGAAGTAAACCACACGGTAATTACATATGGAAAACTGCAGCTGAGGAGCAAGACAAAGGTAGTTTGTGGGATACAGAGATGTGAATAACTACCTTAATTATTTTTTAATCACCAAAATTGTGTTGTACCACCAGGATGGGCTACTTGATGAAACAAATATTTTCATAGCAAACAAGAGTGTTAGGGGTCAGAGTACAAGGAGCACGTGGGAACGTAAATAAGTAAATAGGAAAACATTTGGTTGTGCAGAAGTTTGCTCCACAGCTCTGGTCTGTAAGATTTGTCATTGGGTTTAAGGTATTCAAATGGGGTATGCGATGCATTATCAGGAGCAAAAGAACAATCATTAAAAAATAAGGTCCAGATGGAACAACTGCTATGGGTTCAGGGTAAAAATGAATCTTAAACACATATGAAAGGGTACACATGAAGAATAGAAAGAATCCATTCTTGGTAAAGTTGTTTGGTCTGATTAACGTAGTAAGTGATATATGACTTATTATATATGTATATAGCAAGGAGAAAGGCTAGGATGCCAGTAGAGTCCTTATTTAAACAACTGAGAATGATATCTACTTTTCTATGTTAGAGAGACTTTTAAGTATGCTAATACCAACATATAGAGAGTATGAGGATTTTCCTACCTAATTTCATAGGAAAATGCCAATATACATATCTGTACATATTTAAGGGACACACCCTTCCCCTCTTTGAGTGTGATCACTCACTGGGAAGCAGCCATACAAATGGCTGTATTGAAGAAAGAGGTTAGGGTACGACCAAGGCACCTCTAGCAATGGGCATTTATAAAAATAACCTTTCTTTTGTAATACCGCAGTCAAAAGTCTAAGATGTTAATGTCAGTGACAGTATTTCAATGTTCATTTTCGTGTTTATCCAACAGGATTGTCTCCTTTCGCCACCATTACACGTAGTCTTTCCCACTAGAAGGTGCAGCTTTGGGATAAGGCCGAGGTGTTGGGTAAGAGGTTGTTTTACGAGGACAGGAGCAGCAAAGTAGGCCACCTCCCAGAAGGCAAAGAGAGGCAGCAGCCCAACCAGTGAAGAGAGCCTGGCCAAATTCATACCTACAAGACAAGACAAATCATTGCTGGTCAGTGAATTGCTGGTGACTTTCCTAATAGACTTAAGGAAGCACGTCGATATCCATGATCTTTTCTCCATTGAAAGTGATCCCTATGATTTCTTACACAAGTATTTTATGGTTCGTGAACATATAAACACAAAACTGTTTACACTGAAATTATTGGCAATGCCTTATTTTATCAAGCAATATGACATTGAACACCAGCTTAATTACTTAATTATTGCCAACCACTTTTCCACATAGAGGAGCTTTAAAGTATTTTATATATTATAATGTGGGCATTGGACCATAGTTTCCATTAAGCAGCAACCATATGCTGCAGTGTGGTGAAGATTATTGAAGTGTTTTTTTTTTTTTTTTAAGAGACAGCCTGTTGGTCTTTAAATTAACACAGACTGGCCTCCATGTTGTGATCATTCTGCCTCAGTCTTCTGAGTGTAAAATTACAAAAGTATGCTGCTGCCACACCCTACTTAGACTTCGTGTGTGTGTGTGTGTGTGTATGTGTGTGTGTGTGTGTGTGTGTGTGTGTGTGTTTGTGTGTGTGTGTGTGTGTGTGTGTGTGCTGGTTCTGGGGCTTGAACTATGGGTCTGGGCATTGTCCCTGAGCTTTTCTGTGCTTAAGGTTAGCTCTCTATTCACAGCTCCACTTCTTACCAGAAGGTCTCACAGACCTTCCTGCCCAGGCTAGCTTCAAACAGTGATCTTCAAATGTCAGCTTCCTAAGTAGCCAGAATTATAAGCATGACCACTGGTGCCTGGCTCCATTTAGACTTTTTAATAGTTGAGCTAAGGTACCTACATAAATTAAAACCCCCAAATTTATATTTTATTCAAAAGAAAAGTCTACTGAGCAGCCCAGAGTGCTTTCTAGATTGAGTTCATTCAGGTGTATATAGATTCTTGTGTTGAGCTGTCTTGTCTCTAATTGTGGAAAATAGGAAGCAAGAATGCTGGTTTTGAAGTTATAAGATGTGAGTTTGAATCCTGAGGCAAATTCAGCTGCTACAATTCTGAAATAGCAAATTTAGCTCTTATTCATGGTTCTTCTATAATAATCCCACCTGCTTCTCTGGACTACATTCAAGATCAAATGCAATAATATGTAACAAGTGAATACTCCCTAGTAATAAATAATTGCTTTCACGTGCACTGCAGGGATTATTACTCTGATTAAATATTGGCCTATTGACCTCCAGGAGTTTCTGTCCATGTATCATAAAAGGGATGGGCTCCAACACTATCAGTGTTGTCTGTGTTTTCTGTCCGTGGGTGATTATATAAAAGCAGCACATCTTATCTCTGCCAACACTGAGATTTTCATTACTCGTCCTAGTACTTACAAACAATAATTACATCTTAACATCTTGATGGTGAATGTAGTTATTAAGATTTAAAGATGTAAGAGCACCGAGACACTAAGCGCTGTCCTTGATCAAAGACATTGTGACATGACAGCAAAACTGGCTCTTTAACTTGCACAACTGGCAGTGTTAAGAAAGATGACCTTTGTAAATTCAGTCTTATAGTTGAAATAGAACACAAAATTTCCAGGTGGTTGGTTGATACTAGGAAAAACACATCATGGCTTTACATGGAGAAATTAATTATTGGGAATTAACTGCTGTATGTTTGCTACCATGACAGTACTTTTTTCTTTAATCAATCATAAACTTCTCACTGAGAGAAAAAACAATCATAATCACAATATACTTCAAAATGAAAATGTCAAATATATAAACATTTATCCTTTCTATTGGTAATTGGATAGGGCCTGGGGAATGTCCTTTAGCTCTCTCACTCAAAGCTCTACCACTTGAGTTAATTGGAGATAAGAGTCTCACAGAGTTTCCTGCCCTGGCTGGCTTTGAACTGTTACACTCAAATCTAAACCTCCTGAGTGGCTAAGATTACAAGAATGAGCCACTGACATCTGGCTTATATCATTATTTTTGTTACTATTTGGGGGTAAGGAAAAAAGTATACAGATTAGAAGTTTTCTACTTTGAAGTACTTTTTTTCCCATCAATTCAGGTTGTTAACTCAATTATCAAACTCATTTTAACATGAGTCACAAGTCATTTAAGTTGTTTGCAAGTCTGACATAAACTTCTATACAACTCTTGAAGTCAATCTGAAAAAACATGGCAGTAACAGATTTCTGCTGAAACATAAAAAGGGTATTTTCTCAGAGTACAACTATGTTATGCATGAATAGCATTACCTGGCATTGACGGGAGTCATAGGGTCATAGAATTCTTGAACAATCCTATTGCCATACCATGCTGTGGCAACTAAAATCACCAGACCTACAGAAATGCCAAACAAAAGACTGTTAATCACTATTGAGCATAAATGCACAGTATTGTTATAAGAATTCAATCTCATCAGGAGTTCTGACATTTTTACTTTAGTATTGTGAAAATAAACTTGATTTAACTATGAACTATTCTAAATTTTCTGTTAAGATAGATAAAAATACTAGGTCAGAGTTAGGCATATTTATCTTATTCATGACATCTTATTTACTTATACTTTAAGGTTCCTGACACAAATAATATTAGCATTCAATTTACTCAAGATCTTCTTCAAAAATATGCCAGTACTATAGATTAATGTATTAAACCACTTCTAATAAAACCACTGTTTTCCTGAATACAGAGTCGTTCACAGAAAATGAGATGACAACCCTTAGACATTCTTTTCTCTTCAACTTTTTCCAACTCAAAATTTACATTTCTTCTAGATGAAAATCAAAATAATCGACTAAATATCAGAGAGATTAGCACTTGTCTCTGAATGGGCCAGAACACCCCAGTTCCTCCTACAACAGAGTGCAAGGAAACTAAGCTAATTTCCCCATAGCATTTTGGGTTTGGGAATATCAGGGGAATCAGTTAGAATTACCGATCCTGTCAGCTAGAGATAATACAAAATAACCACATATTTTCTTATCCAAAGGCATATGGTCAAAAGATGCACACTTTGCAGGAGGAGCAATACAGTGTGAGAGTTTTACTGTTCAAATAATAAATAATATTCTTGAAAAGTATTAGTGGAGAGGGTGAATTACCACAAAACTGATAACTGTGTGAGACAAGGCACATATTATTTAGTTTAGTCATTGTAGAATGTACATATATATGCTTCAAAGTATCATGTTATGAATGGCAAATACATACAAATTTGCAAATAATTTGTACATAAGCTAAATAATTGTATATACATGCATGTGTGTGTGTGTGTGTGTGTGTGTGTGTGTGTGTGCGTGTGTGGGGAGCTACTGGTACTTGGGTTTGAACTCAGCCTGGGCACTGAACATTTTTTACTAAAGGCTGGTGCTCTACAACTTGAGCCAGAGCTCCAATATAGTTCAATATAGTTAGATTATTTTCCATGTGACTTCCCCTCCCTTCAAAAATCTGGTTCAGTCCAATTACCTTTAGTAGTTTAAGCATAAATACCTCCCTTTTGCCTGATGAGATAGACCACATCTAGGCTCTTGAACTTGCAACTTGTGTTCCTGAGATAGTCACAGAAATTGAAGGGGGAGGGATCTATCACATAAGGGAGTTAAAAGGATGCAAGCAAAGTCAGAACACTGCAGTGAATTTTTTCAGAGCTACTGATGTAAGGCTGCATTGTTGGGAATAACTGAAAAGTAAACTCTCATGTATAGCCCTAACCTGATCTGTGAGTCCATGTGTCAAATTTTCATCTGATTCTTGTTGAGAATATGAAAGCCAACTGACCAAAGTGTCTGTATCTGCAGATTTTCAAAGTATTAAAATAGTCAAGCACCAGTGGCTGATACCTATAATCCTAGCTACTCAGGAGGCTGAGAGCTGAAGATCATGATTTGGAGCCAGCCCAGGCAAGAAAGTCTATGAGACTCATATCCAATTAACCAACAAAAAGCCATGGAAGAAGAGCTGGGGCTCAAGCGTTAGCCTTGGGCGTAAAAGCTCAGGGAGAGCTCCTAGGCCCCGAGTTCAAGCCCTAGAACTGTTACAACGATTTTTTGAAGTAAATACAAGTGCAATCAACCTAACATAACCCAAGGAAACTGGAACTAGGTATGAAACCTTACTTAGAAAAGGTGAGAAAGGATAAATGGGAAGTCAGATTCTTACCTGCTAAGAGAAATATCATGCCCCCGAAGACAGCCATCCGCATTTTCTGCACCTCATCATCTTCCAGGCACTTCATGCACTTCATACCAACAGTGGACACAAAGATTGCTATCAGCCCCAGCAGGATGCCCACCACCATCAAAGCACGGGTGGCTTGCAAGGTGCCTGATGGAAAACATTTTACCACATGTGAAAATCATGTCAAGGCCAACAACAAGAGAAAGGAGGTAGAAAATCAAGTGTACTGTAGGGAAGAGAGAAAATTAACTAGAAGTCAGGAGATCTCATTTCGAGTGACATTCCTGCTGTCATCCAACCTTGTATCTCCAGAAAAGAAAAAAAAAAAAAAAAAAAGCAAAACAACCCCAAATAAGGCAGATGATGGGAAAAATACCCTCTAGCCCTAACAGTTTATTAAGTTACAACTGACTAAAAGATAATTCATGGTCTATTGACTAGGGTTTGCTGAACTGATGCATATTTAATCCCTCAGTACAATCTTGATTCTGAAATAACAATCACACGTGTTATTCTTGATGTTTACCATTAGTAATTAAAGTGGCTCATATGTACCTTCAATACTAGTCACCACCTTGACAGTGTAATCATCAAATTTCAGAAAAGCCAGGTGAATTTAAAATATCATGAGTTCTTCTTGAGATTATCAAGGCTGGAGAAGCAAGATTTGTATCTCCAATGACTGAAAGGATGGGGTGGGAATGAGGTAATAAAAGTTATTTTCTTAAAAGCAAATATACATCTTCGAGAAATTCACTTGGAGAGCTACACTCATCACTTCTTAAAACTGCCTTAGCAGTTATGTTGTAAAGTGTCAAACACTATGTCCAATGTTGTATTTCTCAAGTTTCTACTCATTTTCTAATTTCCTATTATTATCCTTGGTGTACTAGGTTATAATCAGACACGATCAGATTTGAGGAATTTACACTAATATGTTTCTCAAAGACTAATCAAGTGGCATAAAGGTTGCCACTAGTCTGGTTAGATTTTTATCTAAATTATTCATTTCTTGGCTCCTTCAACTAAAGATCACTATCTCATGGACAACATTAATATGTGGCAAGTAATTTGTACATGTAAAAATTATTAACAATGTAACAAACTATGGGATCTTGGGTAAATTAGCAGGCACACCATATTTCTATTATAAAAAATATTAATAATGCTACCACTGTCCAGGGAGTTAGAACAATTGATTCTTTGCTGAGCTTCAAAAGTAGTTGAGATGGTAGAAAAGTTTTATATCCCAATGTCTAATTTGTACCCCAGTTTTAGTCTTTATATCTTCAGGGTTAAGAAGTTAGCTTACCAAGCATAATTAAAACTAAATACTTCTACAATTCATTATTTTTTGTGTGCTAAAACTCAGGCCCTTATACTCCTACTACTCTTATCATTCAAGGCTAGCCTCTACCATTCAAGCTACACCTCCACTTGGGCTTTTGTTCATTAGTTGGAGATAAGAGTTTCATGGACTTTCCTGCCTGAGCTCACAGACATTCCTATGTGGGTTGTTTTCAAGCTGGGGTTCTCAGATCTCATCTTCCTGAGTAGCTAAGATTATTATAGTGTGAACCACAGGTATCTGACAACATAATTAAGTTAGATATTTTTATTTTTGTTATCACCAGATATTTTTTGGAGGGGGGGTCCGGTCATGGGCCTGAACTCTGGGCTGGGCGCTGTCCCTCAGCTTTTCAGCGCAAGGCTAGCGCTCTACCACTTGAGCCACAGCACCACTTCTGGCTTTTTTTTTGCTTATGTGGTGCTGAGGAATCGAACCCCGGGCCTCATGCATGCAAGGCAAGCGCTCTACCACTGAGTCACCTTCCCAGCTCCCACCAGATATGCTATAAAAGCAAACTCATCTCCTTCTAAGAAGTATCAAATATGGTTTTTTTTTTAAGTATTTGAGTGACAGTTTTTGGAAACCAAAGTAAAAACCAGACTTGATTTCATTAAAATAGACCTGCCTCATGAAAATACTTGCAAACCTGGGTGTGTGCATATCTGCACACCCACCCCTTCACTCACCTCCAGATTCCAGACTAGTACAGAAACTATGGAATCAAACATGGGTTCCACAGACCACATATTTACCAGTAACTGAAGCTGCTTACATGATTATTATACTGTATTGGGATATGAAGGGGAAAGTACCAAGAACTCCTTAAACTGTGAATCCCCTATTGCATTTTTTGTACTTTTTTTATTGTAAAAATGCTGTACAGAGGGGTTACAGTTACATGAGCAAGGTAATGAATACATTTCCTATTGAGCATTGTTGCCTCCTCCCTTCCCTCCCACCTCCACAACTACCCCTCCCCCACTCCACCCCCCACCAAAGTGGTAAAGTTCATTTTCTTTTTTTTTTTGGGAGGGGGTGGGGTGGGGTCCGGTCATGGGGCCTGAACTCTGGGCCTGGGCACTGTCCCTCAGCTCTTCAGCTCAAGGCTAGTGCTCTATCACTTGAGCCACAGCGCCACTTCCGGCTTTTTTTCTTTTTGCTTATGTGGTGCTGAGGAATCGAACCCAGGGCCTCAGGCATGCAAGGCATGCCCGTAAAGTTCATTTTCAACATAGTGTTTTTGTACATCTCATTGTTACAATGGGTCAACCTGTATCCTTATTTAAGGATTTTGTTTGGAAGGGAAAAAACAAAATCCTATTGCATTTAACAATAGATTTTATAAAGACTAATTACTTTGAAGGAAAAATGAAATAAATTCTTTTTTTTCTTTTCTTTCTTTTTTTTTTTTGTTGGTCGTGGGGCTTAAACTCTGGCTTAGGAGCTGTCTCTGAGCTCTTCAGCTCAAGGTGAGCACTCTACCACAGCACCACTTCAGTTTTCTAGTGGTTTAAGAGTCTCATGGACTTTCCTGCCCCTGCTGGCTTTGAACCGCAATCCTCAGATCTCAGCCTCCTGAGTAGCTAGGATTACAGCCATGAGCCACTGGCACCCAGCGAAATAATTAAATTCTTAAGCAGATTTCAGATTGGGTGATACTATTCCACTTGGAAGGAAAGCACTTCAGGTAAGTGTTCGAAATAATAAAGATGATCCATTCTTGTGCCTGCCTACAGGGTAGGTCAACTACTCCTGCCAGTTTGCCAAGATCTAGCTTTATTTTACAACAACTAGTTTAATTTACAACACTGGGGAGAAGGCTCACACTTCAGGGCAACCTGGAAGGGCTGATTATGCTACAGGAGTGTGATAACATATGGGAACTGAAATGAAGCTCAACAAGATAGGCAGAAGAAATACATAATGCAAAGCTTTGTGAGTCAGTGTATGGAATTTAAAGTCTTTTCTAGGCATAAGTCCTTGGAGGATCTTGAAGTGGTGTGACATTTCTTATACACTCACTAGAGAGATAATGTAATTAGAAAATGCTTTTTTCTCAGGGGGTGACATTGATCAAGAGTCATTGTATTCATAGAATACATTATTGGATGGCAATTCCTTTGTACAAATACTGAACGATAATAACAAGGAAAGCCGGGCGCTGGTGGCTCACACCTGTAATCCTAGCTACTCAGGAGGCTGAGATCTGAGGATCGAGGTTTAAAGCCAGCCAGGGCAGGAAAGTCCGCGAGACTCTTATCTCCAATTAACCACTAGAAAAATGGAAGTGGTGCTGTGGCTTAAGTGGTAGAGCACTCGCCTTGAGCTGAAGAGCGCAGAGACAGCACCCAGGCCCAGAGTTCAAGCCCCACGACTGACAAAAAATAAATAAATAAAAAATAAGGAACTACTCTTTCTCTAGTAGGACTTAAATATTCACAGGCTGTTACATATCACAGGCAACTCCACTTCATTTTAGCATAAATACTGTTTTTCCAGCCCTCTATTAATGCTTATTGGTGCCTTCTGTGATCTCTTTCCAAGGTTTCCACTGGGCTCCAGTTGCAGGGCCCCAGAATTGACCTAGCTTATATAATGTAATTGTGTTGGTCTGTTCATCAGGTATAAACGGCAGGCTATTCACCCAGCAAGTCTGAGAGCTCAGCTCAGGGTATCCTTTACAAGGAGTCAACTGGGCATCAGTCTCCTGAGTCAGGCTTGTATAAAACCTCTGATCTCCTGGCACACAGAGCACAGAGCACACAGATATAAACTACCTCAGCCTCCATCTACACCCACCTAGAAGAATGGAATATTCATGGTTTTAATCTCTCTCTCCTCCTCCTGCCTCTCTTTCTTTCTCATTGGCTTCAAATTAGGGCCTCTAATGCTTACTTGGCTTTTCACTCAAAGCTGATGCCTTACCACTGCAACCACACTTCTGCTCCTAGCTTTTTTGCTGGTAGTTGAAAATAAGAGTCTTGTGGATTTTTCTGCTCAGGCAAACATCGAACTGCACTCCTCAGATCTCAGCCTCCTGAATAGTCACTAGTGAACTGTCATTGTCCGACTTGTTTTGCCTTGAAAGAAAACACCTGTGTTTTATTCCATGGTTATGTTGGCCCCTTCTTTTGCAGTGTTTAAGGAGGATGGATTGCTCTATGCTTACTAATTACCCTACTTGTTTCATTTTCCTGTAGATTAAGTTATGTTATATGTCTGATACATAAAATGAAATGGAGAAAATGAATAAAAACATACTTAGGAATCACAAAAACCATAAACATCAAGGGACTTACTTAGGTTTCACTTTAAAAACTGTGAACAGTAGTAGAATAAGAATATTGTTTTAAAAAGCGACATTTTTCATTAATAACCTGGCAGCTATTGGCTTAGGGAATTTCTCTGTCTTTCACAATGTTACGCTGACATCAAACTCAAATTCTCACCTTGGGTGAATTCTAACTATAATCATATGTGGAGAAAAATGTAAAAATAATGCATCATGTACCCCTACCACAGGCAAAAGTATTGAGAACCTTAATGACTTGGAATTGTAATTTGCTGAGCACATGTAATATCAGATTACAAGCCAAAGTAAGCAACGATTGTGTTATAAGTTATGAGGGTTTTATGTGATGATTGAATCTAAATTACAGTTTTAAACTGGAGGCAGATGAATTCTTTCAAATTAAGGTCGTGTAGAATTTTTTCAAGCCAGAAGTCTACAAGCTGCAATTGTGACCTGGTGGATGACTTGAGTCAGGTATTTGTTAATATTTCTGGGGACATGTGG